CCAAGAATTTTCACTCTGGTGCTGGATAACTCCTTAGATGTGGAGTCCAGAGACACAGAGCACCAACTAACTGTAAGACTACTCCATCCACAAGGAGATTCACAGCTACAGTCACAGCAAACATTGTCAGCGCTGGGTAGTAGTTCTAAATGTATTTCGTTATTGGGATACAGGCTAACAGGAGAAGGAAGCCAGCTGTGCTGGTGCATGCCTGTAATCTTAGCATTCGGGAAGGCAGGAGGATCACAAACTGGGCCCAGCTCTGGCAACTCACTCAGAACCTGTTTCAAAATAAAAAAAAATAAGCAGGGCTGGAGAGTTAAATCCTCAATCAATCTTGAGAGGAAAGGAGGGAAGGCAGGACAGAAAGGGGTAAGGAAAAGTGAAGGGCCAACACGATGTAAATGGATCCTATTACTGGCTGGCAGTGTCAGCAGCACCATGGAAGTGGATTGTAGAGGGAGTAAAGCAGGAAAGACTGGAGGTGAGGAGCTGGGAATGAACCTGAGATTCTACAGTAGGTGTGTTAAAAATATGCTACAGTTACCTAAAAGGAGGAACAAAGGAGGAAAAATTTAACTGACAAAAAAAGGAAAACTTAAGTAATGAACTGAAAAGAATAAGATCAATATCCAAGAATATAGCCTAGCTAATGTTCTAAAAGGAAGCAATTACTTATAAGATGATTCTACCACTCATAAAGATGCAATTTCCCTAGAGCAGGGAACCTACTACACACTAAATGTTCATGATAGAAGTGTTTCTTTATTATTCTTTCTACTACACAGTTCAGGCTGGCCCCAAACTCACAACAATTCTCCTGCCTCAGCCTCCTAAGGGCTGGGATTATAGATGCACACTACACCTAGCAAAAATATTTTTATATATGAAGTTAACCAAGAAACAATTCAAACCAATCAAGACCAACTCCGATGTTTTTAAAAGATGTTTTCTGGAGCTACAAAGTGCTCCCAAAGTACATATTATTTAGCTATAAAGGGTAATTTAAAAATAGTGATCCAAATCTTTATGTCCCAAATTAATTTTTCAAAGAAAAATATGGGCTAGAAAGAAGCTCCATCATGATACAAAACTACATGTCTGCAGTATCCTACTTAAAACTGTCAATGAAAGGTAGGTAGGTAGGTAGACCAATCAAATTAGGGTTAATTTATACTTAAGAATTCTTTGTGAACTTATACCCTAAAAATTAAGAGCACCAAAATATAAAAAACCTCGAGCAAAAACCCCTGAATACAATGTTAGTATACAATATTCTGTAATTATGTAAAATCACTATCAATGGATAATACCATTTTGTTATCAAAAAGGGAAATGCAAGTGATATAATGTGTATGATTCCAGTTTTGAAAAATGCACACCAACATAGGGACTACAGGGTCTCATTACATAGATTGGACTCGTAGTGATCTGCCTGTGTTCAGCCTCTCAAGAGCTGGGATTACAGGTGTGTGCCACCACACCCCAGTCTCAACTGCCATCTCAGTGTGCCCCAGGGGCGGGGCAGGCACGGCATACTGGTGATCGAACACCTTACTCCTGTGTCTGCCTAAGCAGGGGCTTTAATCTGCTGAGCTATTTGTCTTTATAGCTTAGTGAAAGGCCTGGGTTCAACTCTCAGTATCTCTGTCACACACACATACAATACAAAAAGGAAAAGATAGAGACTACATAGAACATAAAGACATGTGATCATGAACATTCTCAACAGAAAAATACAATTACAGCAGAAAGTCATTATGGCTGTACACTATGACCAGAGAAAGAATAATAAATATACATGAAGGCAAAGTGGAGAAGTGGTGTGGGTAGGCACCAGATCACGGATGGTCACCAAGACTATCTAGTGAATTACAGAGATAAGAATGAGTGACAATAGCAGAGCTTCACTTCAGTTGTCTGACACTGATGATATGTTTTTCTTACTCTTTGCCTATTTCAGTTTAACCTGAGCACACTACTTAAGTCCACTGAGAGTAGATACTCTCTTATTTTAGCTTTTTGAGACAGTTGCTTCCATAGTCCAGGAAGCCCTGAACGCACTATGTTGCCCAGACTGGCTGCATCAGCCTCCCAAATACTGGCATCAGAATTGTGCCTAGCTGAAAACAGCCTTTTTTTTTTTTTTTGTACTAGGTATCTAGCTCAGAATCTCACTTTTTCGGGAGGAGCTGTACCATTGAGCTAAATCCCCAGCCTGTAGAACAGACATCCTTAAAAGACTATTTCCTAGAGCCGTTTGATTTAGTAATTCATAGGTATGCTGCAAATCTCAAAATGTATTTAATGTCATACATAAACATCAAAAACATGCAAATGTTGAACAATTTTATTTAATAACATGCCTGTTTCCTGGCTATCTAAAGGATGTTTTTTAATTTATAAAATATTATTCACAAATGTTGACATTTAGGGGCCAGGGAGATGGCTCAGTGAAATAAGTGCTTCCCTGGTAAGCACACGGGCCTGAGTTCAATCCCCAGTTCTGCCAAAAAAGAAAAAAAGGAAAAAAAAAAAAAAAAAGCTGACATTTTAAAACAGGAATATAGGACTAGAAAAAGACAACATTATAATATCTTAAGAAAAAACTAGAAGAGGTATTATAATATCTTAGGAAAAAACTAAGAGAAGCAGATAGCCAGGCATGATGATGCACATCTGTAATCCAGGCATGTGGAAGGCTGAGGCAGGTAGAGTTCCTTGAGCTCAAGGCCAGCCTGAAATACATAGTGAGACCTTGTCTCAAAACCAGAAAATTTATATTTAAACAATGAGGTTTAAATCTTAACCTATTTTAAGCAAGTTACTTTACCTCTCACCAATTCACTTTCCCAACAATATGGGGGTAATATTTCTATTGAGAAGAATAAAATAAAGTGTTTTACCTAACTTGGGTCAGCATGTAATTATCCCAGCACTCCAGAGGCTGAGGCAGAAAGATTGCTTTGGGTTTGATATTAGCTTGGGCTACATAATGAATTTAAGACCAGCCTAAACTACATAGCGAAAGTCTGTCTTTATAAAAACAACCTATCTTGGTCCTATCATACACCTTACATTTGGTAGGCATTAAAATGTTAAATGAAGCCAAGTGTGGTAGTGAAAGTCTATATTATCAGGAGGCTGACCAAGGATGATCACCAAAATTTTGAGGTCAGTCTAGGCTATATAGTGAGATCCTGTCTCAAACAAAACAAAACACCAAAAACGAAAGAAAGAAAGAAAGAAAGAAAGAAAGAAAGAGAGAGAGAGAGAGAGAGAGAGAGAGAGAGAGAGAGAGAGAGAGAGAAACACGAACCAAACCGTAACGAATGAAAGTAAATGCCAAAATAGGCCAAAGTGATTGGGATAAATGGAGATGTAGCTCAGTAGTGCAGAGTAGTTGCCTAATATTCCTAAGGGTCTAGGTTTGATCTTCTGCACCATAAAATACAAAACAAATAAAAACTACATCAAGTTCAGAGTTCATTACAAAATGTCTCTATACATCAACTCTTCAAAAACTTTCTTTGGATATAGTGGAATAACACTATAATTCTGGGCCCATCCTTTGTATACACCCATGCAACACTTTAAAATGACCTAAAAAGCAAATTTTGCTTTGATCAGACTCTAAACCAGTTTTTTAAAATGCGCGCACACACACACACACACACACACACACACACACAAACACACACACACAGACACACGCACACACACCCTTGTGCTGGGGGTTACTTTCATTTCATTATTTTATTTTTTTTGGGGGGAGGGTTAAATTTAGAGTCTTATTAAACTGTTTAGGCAGGGGGCAGACTCTAAAAGCATCTATACCACCTCCCAGAGTACTGAAATTAGAGATGTGGGGGCTAGCCAGATAGCTCAGTAGATTAAAGTGCCTGCTTGGGCAGATGCAGGGACCAAGTTCTATCCCTGGTGTGCCATACCAGCCCCACCCCTGGGGCATGCTGAGACAAGACTAGGTGTGGTGGTGCGTGCCTGTAATCCCAACATTTGGTAGGCTGAAAAATTGGAGGATTACTACAAGTCTGATCTGTGTAGTGAAACCCTGCAGATCCTATACTAAATACATAAAAACAAACAAACAAAAACCCCTAAAGGTGTGGGCCACAGTATCTGGCAGACCGTATTTTCAAATTTCAATTTAACATAAAATGCTCAGAATAATTTTATTTATGTAGGATAAAACAATGTAATAAAGCTATGTAGGTACAACAGAAAAGATCTGACCAAAATCAGAAAGGGTGTGTGAGCTGGTGCACTTCTTCATGCCTTGTACTCCCAGTTCCTTCTGGAGGCTGAGAAGGAAGATTACCATGATTTTGATTCCAGTCTGGATTACAGTGAATTCAAGGCCAGCTTGAACTACACAGTGACACTGTCTAAAAAAACCCCTAAAACACAAACACCCAATAATAAAAAGTATTCTTTAAAAACTCTAAATGGTGTATTCCACCAGTTGGTTATGCCTTTATTAGTACATGTGATACTTCTAATTAAGTATGCCGGCAATAAATTAAACAAAGTCTAAGATAAAAGGAAAAAATGTTGGTATAATTTGAAGACTTAAGAGATGAGTAACTAAAATAAGACTAAATCCAAAATTAGAATCTAATTTGACTCTTTTTTTGGTTTTATGGTAAGAGTCTCCTTTGCAGCTCAGGCTGGCTAAGAATGTACTGTGAGCCTCCTGCATAAGCCTCCCAAGTGATGGGATGCCACCAGTTACCACACACAGCTTTCCTGACTTCCACAGTGAGATTCAATAACAAAATTTTATTAATTTGATCACAACGAAAATGTTTTTAATGATATATATACATATATCCACAATTTTCTCTACATATTTGAGCCAAAGTTAGAAGATCACATACATAATTTAAGTAAAAAAGAAACCACAGTCAACTTCAGATTGAGAGGGGTAAGAGCAGAATGGGAAAAAGTATACAGTTTTTGGATGTAAAGATTGTTATTACCTTTTCCAGGTCTAACTCCTCTAACAAAATGCTGGCATTCTTGTTGGCTTCAGCAGCCTGTCTGTCTTTGGCTTGTACTATTGACTCCATACAAAGATGACACTTTTTCAGCATCTCCTATAATAAATCAAAGATATTTCTTGCCTCAAAGAACAATTCCCACTTAGTAAGGAAGGTTCCCCAAAACATGAAGATCTTCATTACGGCACTTAAAAATAAGAATAAAAATCAGTGGCAGAAAATAAAAGGCAAAAAGTACAAATACATATACAATTTAAGCATATTTAAACATATTCAAAAGCAAAATCTTTTGCTATTCACCAAGCTGTGCTTTATAAACTAATATTACTTCCTCCAAACAGAGCTACAGTGAGTTGGTTAATGGGCTAAGAGGAAATGACCAATGTGAATAAAAAATAGACTTAAAAATTTCTTAATTGTTTAAGATGAGAACTGTCTTTAATTATTAGTCATAGAAGGAAGGCACTAACACACATACTATCTCTTCAATTATATTCTCAAAAAACTTTAGCAAACAAATATTTATTTTACAAAGATTATTAAAAATATTACTTTACTTCTATTAAAGAAACAGAATTCTATCATACTGATCCATAAGGTAAGTTAATCTATAAACTTTTCTTAAATGGCATACCTCATTTACAAACTACTAATTAAAAATTTGTTATGTGTACACATTATTGCTCAAACTATAACTTTTCTTAGCACAAGAGATAGCCTAATAAATGGAATCTTCAGCTCACTCAATAAGATGACCCTGAGGACATATTACCTTATCTGTGATGGTCGCTATGTATCGCATACACTCAGAATCGGAGGGAAACTGATTGACTTCTTTCACCAAGTAGCGTACCACCTTCACATGACCCTATAAAACAGCAATGTCAGATGAAAACAGACTCTTTCAAGGATTCAGTAAATACATACTAGGCATATGAATATATGAATATTCAGTGGTGTATTTGCTCTACGAATTAAAAAAACAGACTTTCATTTTAACAGGTAAACCTATATTGTTCATTTGCATCCAACTTTTCCATAAAGAACATAATTATGTGACCTAACATTCTAAATTACTCTGAATAAAAGAACAAAAATGCAAAAATTAATATAAAAAGTTGGCAAAGGCGCATCTAAGGAGACAAAGAGAAAAGATAAAATACTCATCTTCCTTTTATTTGGTAACTCACTACAAATGAGCATCCAGTTTTGGTTCTATGTATTAAAACAGTAAAAATACTACACAGTCAGTTCAAAGCTGACCTGAACTGCATAGCAAGCCCTGTTTCAATAAGAGTAAAAGCAAAAATTTTATTATTATATTCTTTCAAATAAAAAGCAAACAGCATAGTGAACAGTGTGAAAGAAAATATTCTTCACAACATCATTAACTGTGGGTAAATCCTTCACTCATAGCTCAGTATCCAATTTCAAATTCTTTAGATTTGCTGAACTTCTTACCTATCTAGAGTGCTGATCTTTGACACCTATAATTTAGCCAGTCTGGATAAAAAAGTAACAGTCAAAACGAACTCTCTCTCCCTTTTGGTCCCCATGTCTTAAAAACTTTGCTTTAAATCAACAGCTATCTAATGAAAAGCTCAAACGCTACTTGCATTATTCCCTAATGATCTTTCCAACATGTCTTCAAGTCCTTACATTATTTATACAGGAAAACTTACAGAGTTTGTTAGGACTTGGGCAGGGATCTTACTTCCCTCATTGGCCAGTTTAAAAATTTTAACTGTAACATAGCCAAGTCATTACAGTCCATTTGAGAGGTACTAAAAAATAAACAGAATGAAAACAAAAGAGTATAAAGAATAAACACTATTCACATATTAAAATTATCTATTGGAAAGATAATGCATGCCACATATTAGAGAAACAATTAAAAATAATCACTAACTGTATTAACATAAAGATATTTGTCACAATGAATGATAAAAAGAAAATAAAGACCTAACTTCAATAACTTAAGAGAATGGATAATTCAAAGTAAGCTTAAATAAGATAGACACAGTTTGTGTAGAAAAGAAGTTTTAAATTATCTAAAGAATAACTAACTGGAAAAAATGAGGAGGGACAAGAAAAGGTCATTCTAAATGAGAACAGAGACTACATGAGAGAAAATAAAAAGATCAACTGAGGAAAAGACAACTCCACATGATAGTAGCAATAAAAGAATACCTAAAGGTACTAAACTGTGATGCCTCTGAACACCAAACAAGGTTGGATTTCAAAAGAGGTCAGAGACTGACCTGGCGCTAAACTACTCAAAACAGGGCACTAATGGCAAAATGGCTAAGCAATACAAACTTGATAATGACATACTTGCTTCACTAGAGGTAGGTAGCCTCTGAGAAAGAAAAGCTTGACTGATGAAGGAAAGAAAAATATGACATCAGATTTCAGAGTTTCTAGGGAAAAGAGGTTATAACAAGTCAAGCCAGACATGACTGTATACACTCATATTCCCAGCATTTGGGAGGCTGAGGCAGGAGGACTGCTACAAGTTTGAGGCTAGCCTGGGCTACATAGTGAGTTCAAGGTCAGCCTGAACTGAAATGGCAAGACCTTGTCTCTTAACAAACAAAATAATTAACTAGTTAATAATAAGAAGAATAAAAGTTGGCTGTGGTGGGGTGTGTCTATAATCCCTGTAATCTAGAAGGTTGAAGCAAGGATACAAAATTGCAAACTGGAGCCCAACCTGGTGTCACACTGACATTCAGAGGTGCTGCCTCTCAAATTTAAATAAATAGGATGAGGGACATACCTCAGCGGGAAAGCCCTAGGTTAAATTCTCAGCAGTTTGGGCTTGGGGTTGGGGAAAGGCCTCAAGAGGGAAGGACAGATAGACATGGGAACAAAAGAACAGTAAGAGAAAAAGGAATAGATAATAACTTGTGCATGTGAAAATTTTCCACATTCTGGAATCTAGAGGGAGACTTTACTGACATTTCTTCAAATGAAAAAGTTCAAAAGGCACATATCTTTGAAATACATATTTTTTTCTATGTTATTCCAAATTCTCAATAATTTAAAATATTGGTAGTGAAGCTATCATTTTTCTTTCCAGGATTTAACAAAGATGAGAACAAAATAAATCTGTTATACTTTTCTTTGCAGTGGCTAATAGAATCAAACATTTTTCCACATTCAAGTAGCTCCAAATGGTTGCTCTTCATTGGAGTTATATTTTGTGAGATTAGAACTATCTGACAGTACTACAGAAAAAGCTTTTTAAAAGTTCACTTAGCTTTGATGTTCAGTGTCAGTATAATATCATAGGTTCTCTGCCATACCTGTACCTATCCCTTAGTGTTGTTAACAGAGTAATAAATTGTATATGACTTGCTTTCACCAAAGTTGCCAAATCATAAAATGAGTCTTCAGTGACAATGAGACATATACTTCTTTTACTAGAATAAGTGGAAAACATCACATAAATGATCAAAGATCACTACCTTTCTAAATGCTGCCATAAGTGGAGTTATTTTGCGGTTATCTGCTGCATCTACATCAGCACCTGCTTGTACCAGTAACTGAACCACATCAAGGTGTCCACCATTTGCAGCTAGCCACAATGGAGTGTTCCCCTTCTTGTTACGTACATCAATATGAGCTCCCCTAAAAATGAATGACATAGATAGCACTGTCTTAAATGAAATGGAATGATATAAGTAACATAAAAACCCCACAACTATTAACATGTAAAAACACTCTACAAAGATGAAAAAGTTACTTTTTTTTGGTTCCAGGAATCAAAGACAGGACCTTGTGCTAGCCAGGCAGGCACTTGAACCAGAGCTATATCCCTGACCTGAAAGTTCTTTTCAATATTCAAGAACTAGAAATTAAGTTTTTTCAGAATTATATAAAACATTTCCAGCCATCAAATCAAAGTCATATATTTAATATTTGATTTTCTAATTTAAAAATGACCACAATAATTCCTTGTTTCAAACCCAGAGAAAATGGATTAAAGTAAATCCCACAGTATCATTACTTATTTTTAAAAACCTAGATATATTAAAAAATATGACACAAATGTCATTTATATTCATTTATTTATAATATGTAGTTTCAGAAAAAGTAAATTTGAGAGGAACATGTAGGTCTAGTATTAGGTGGGTATTAAGTAGTTATGGTAGGAATAGTAGTTACTAATAATAAGAGTACCCAATACTATTCTTAGTAGGACACAACACAAATGTCTTAAAACTATTGAGTAAAAAATACAAAGGGAGACAAACACCACTGGAGACTAGCAGACAAATTTTAAATGACTATCCTTGATTTTGTCTAATAATGCTTAAAAAAAAAAATTCTCTCCTTCACCCTTCCCTCCCTCCATTTCTCTCTCTGGTACTAGGGATTGGACCTTGTGCTTACCAAGCAGGAGCTTCTGCCACTGAGCTATTTCCCTGGACCATCTTGTCTAATGTTGAATAGTTTCAAAAGTGTCTCCTAAAATCCCTAATTGCTATAAAGAATAGGAAAATTAATAAGAAACTCTGAATCATTGCCAGATTTTAAAGACTTGGAGTATGGTAATACTTGGCAAAACTAAAATTGTGTGGGGGACATGAATATGGATGACAAAAGCTAAATGTTCAGATACCTTATTATAGCACTGAAAAAATATACACAATGATGAATCAAAGTATTCTTCGGCTGCACAGAAAACAAACTAGACAATATAACACCTAAATTTCAATGGCTGAGTAATGATAGAAAAGATGGTGTGTGTGTGGGGAGGAGGGTTGTGGTTTATACAAGGAAGCACACTTCATTTTTTAAAATAATATAATTTGTCAGAGAGTATCAATGACCAGTAACACTTACATTCACACATGAAGGATATGAAAATATCTTACCTGCCAATGAGAAGCTCACAGAACTTGTAATGCCCTTTATCTGCTGCTATGGTTAAAGCTGTATCTCTTGAGGAAGGAACTGGAGGGGCATTAACATCAGCACCTTTATCCAAAAGAACTCTGCCCACCTCTGCGTATCCACCAGAGGCAGCTTCCATTAGTGGTGTGAGGCCAGTCTAAATTCAGTGGAAAATAAACAAATTAACAGCAACAAAAAAACCATAAAACAGGCAGGAAATAGCTAAAATGTTGATAACAAAAAATCTGAGGGAACATGGTTTATCTAGTTTTTAGAAAATTCACAACTGAATCTGAGCACTGATACTAGTTTCTCAGAATTATAGCCTAAAAATCTATTAAAGGCAACTGTACCTAAAATCAATAGTGTTAAGAATTTGATTAAGGTGCAGTTAGCATGTAACATTTACCATGCAGTAAAATATTCTCTCCCTTCTCTTTAAAACTGTCTTTTTCAGACAAAAACTCTAATAGTGACACCTTTAAAAATGTATAATTGAGGGTTTTCATAAGTTAATACTTAGGGCCAGGGAGATAGCTCAGTGGCATAAGCACCTGCTTGGCAAGTGCAAGATCCTGAGTTCAAACCCTAGTACAAAACAAAACAAAAACAAAAACAAAATCACAAAAAACCAAAAAACAAAAAAACACCTCGACTTAGAATGACTCCCGATTTATCGTATTCCTAAGGAGATAAATATTATTAGAAAGTACTACAATAAGCCAGATTAGGATTTTGAGTTTAAGGCAAGCCTTCACCACATAACAAGACAGTCTCTAAAAACAAAAACAAAAAAAAGTAGTAAAATTCTGTTGTACACTATAAACATTGAAGCAATAAATTAATGGGTAAATTCAGATCTTTTTCTTACCTTAGCTCTGTGTTCAACATTCGCTTTTCTATCAAGCAGAAGACTAACTACTTCAGTTCTTCCTTGGAAGCAGGCTAAGGTAAGGGCAGTGTTCCGGTTGGTTTCTATTTGAGCATTTATGTCAGAGCCCATGTCCAACAGGAGCTTAACAGCAGCTGTGTGCCCATTCATTGCTGCCAACATGAGGGGAGAAATCCCCAATTTGCTACCAGTTCTAGGGATTAAGACATGGAGAGAACAAAAGGAAAAATATAATTTTATACAACAAATGAAAATTATAATGTAGAATTTTAACATAATAATTAAAAGCTTTTTAAGTTTTATCTCAACAGTTTTCATTACTTAAATAAAAAATAATTTAAAAAAAAAACATTTTTAATGAGGCAAGGATACAGCTCAGTGGTGTAAGCACTTGCCTGGGAAGCACAAGGTCCTGGCACCAAAAACAAAAATAAAGACAAAACCCCCCCCAACAAATTGGATTCTAAGTTTATAGAAAAGTCAAAATATAGTATTCAAAATCACGAGACCTACAAATATCATTAACATAACACTCTTCATAAATAACAGGGTCTGTATAGAAGAATAAACTTGCCTAGAATTAATCTCAGCTCCTGCATTTAGTAGTATTTTGATGATGTTCACATAGCCACCTGAAGCAGCCAGGCTCAGAGGTGTATAATCAGAAACATTCCTGTGCTCTTTATTTGCCCCTCGTGCTAACAACAGCTCCACCACCTGGAAAGAAAAAAGGAAAGAATACATTTTCTTACGCTGAGACAATATTCAGAGATTTTATTTTTGATTTTTCTTTTTTCTGGTCTACTGTAAACCAAAAGAGGGGAGTTCTTTCACCCTCCACACAAAACTGGCAAAGGATATTAGAAGACTAAAAAAGAGAAAACGCAAGCAAAACCCATTTTGAAATCTTTTGACAAAGTATAGTATATTCATGGAAGATCTGGACCCAAAATGTCATGATATGCTATTTTGAACATTATTTCTTTGTTATTCCATTACATAGTGGTGGAACACAAGGAATATGGAACAGGATTTTAATTTTATTTCTGCAGTACTGGGGATTATACCCAAGACTTTTACACTAAAATGCACCATCAGCCCCACACACCCCCTTTTAAAACTTTTATTTTGAGACAAGGTCTCTCTAAGTCACTAAGCTGCCCAGATTGGGCTACAAATTGCAAGCCTTCTGCTGAAAAAGATTTTTTTATTTTTGGACACAGGGTCTTGCCGTTTAGTTCAGGCTGGCCTTGAGCTCACTATGTAGTAAAGGCTGACCTCAAACTCAAGGCAATCCTCCTGCCTCAACTTCCCAAGTATTGGGATGATAGGCATGTGCTACCATGTCCAGTGGTTTTTATTTTTTTATTTTTGGCGGAACTGGAGATTGAATTCAGGCCCTTGCACTTGCCAGGGAAGTGCTTATTCTACCGAGCCACCTCCCTGGACCCCGTGATTTTTAAATGTATACACGTTTAAAATAATTTTAAATGTATACATATTTAAAATAACTTTAAATCAGTCAGTAACTTCTTTAAATATTTAAAGATAGCTAACACTTATCTTCAAAAAAGTTAGACTGTCCATGTATTAGTCATCTAGATTTTATTATTAATATTGTATTAATATTATAGAGTGCCAGTTGCTCTGTATCTTGGCAACACTTGTTACTACCAATCTTTAATTGAAACTACAGTCTAGTGTGTTGTGGTATCCACTGGGCCTGAACTACATTTTTCAAAGTTATAAGTGTTTAGCACTTATGTGTTTATTGGTCATTCATAGATTTTTAATCATTACACCACTTTAATTCAAAGTACTGTAACTTCTGACACAGGTACCATACTTATATCATTTTAGAAATGAAGCATAATAACAATAAGCTTATCTTCTAGATGGTTAACAACCTAAGTTTGCAGACCAAAATTAGAGAAAAAGGAGGGCTACAAGGAAAGCCAACATTTTGGCCCTAGCCTTTTAAGGTCAATTAAGA